ACAAAGACCTTAGGAATAAGTCGCGCAAGCGCTAGAAAAAGGGATGACTTGGGTGAGACGCGGTACCGCGTCACAATGTCCCACGAGGTGCGCAAAGTGAGACGCGTTACCGCGTCACGCTGTCGTCAACGTGTTAAAATTGAAGGTTTGTTCTTGCTGTGTGAGCAGACAAAACAGCCAAAATACTTCGTGTTGCCCGAAAAGGAAGCGTGAAAACAATGAAAAGAAGCTTTCAGGAAACACGTCTCTCTGAAACTACCTAAGACGAGACATTCAACCATGCCAAGAATTCTGTTCAGGTCTGATGCATGGCATAGCCCTGAACTTGTGATTAGTAAACATTTTTCAATACCTCAATGGTAGACAGATGGTGAAGCTTTATGTAAATCGACAGTTGATAAAACAGGTTGATGAGAGTATTAGGCACAGGGAAGAATATATGGGTCTGAATACATGCACGAATGGTGAATGAACGAATGAATTAATGAATGAACGAATGATAATACAACGATGAACGAACGTGAACACAGAAAAAAGCGACGAGCTGCTCATATCTACTGGGGTGAGGACTAGACTGAGAGGATGAGGATTGGGGTAAGAGTGAATGATAGAAGGGAGGTGTTCGTTGAATCCATTCTGTTTAGTTCGCGGATCAGACAAATGGCAGTGGGGGGGGGGTGTCTAGAGAGATGAGGGGAGAGCTGCTCTCGAGATATGCCTAGCTGAACTGGGAATATAAGCGAAAGTGTGTGGATGACTAACAACTGATCAAGCCAAATGTACAATGCACAAACGATCGAATATCGTGGGAATAAGACTTCGTGGTGAATCGATACGGGTCGATAAATCGATAGTGAATAGTTTGGAGGAGAACATATTTGGACAGGAGATGGACAGACGACGGTAACGCACACAAACGCACTAATCACAAGAGCGCCAGTTTAGCGGCGGCTCATTCAGTTGCCGACAATCTGGATTCCGCTAAGCTCAACGTCGCCCTGAATCTGGAGACCTCCGACCTCATGAGGGTCAATGCGATGAGCGTAGGAGGCAAATCGCTCGCCGTTCACGAAGATCTAAAAAACAGTGTGCATTGACTATCTCTATAGAATAACATATTAAACATAATAACAATGTTGGTAAGCATATTGACAAAAGTGATAAAATATCGACGCAAATCTCGTACAACTCAATTTCAGAGATACTCTTAATTGAAATTAATTCATAAAAAAACCGTGTATTCCACCAACTATTCAAACTCAACCTTCCTAACTGTAGCACTAGAGAAACATGTTCACGGCTTTAGTGCTCTCTTATTACTGAATATTTTTTAGTACTTCTGAAAATCGTTGTTTACTGTCAATACCGACAAAAATTAACGGCAATGAAGTATCCTCTCGGCTTACTCATAAAAAAAGAGAAAGGTAGGGGTTCCATAAAAAATGATAAACGAGCTTATGGGGTCGTGAGAGGATAAGGGTCAGCGCTACCAAATAGCCTTTTTCAAGCTGATAAGAAGGGACGATAAAAAAGGAAACAAACTTCTGTCTGTAATCGATTTTAAAGGCACCGCACACGGAAAAATTGTGCCCCATCGTTACGAAAAGTTAACACCACTAACACAGCATTTCGTGAGGATAACAAAGAATGGCGCAGTAACATTAATTTTGGTATCGTGTCCAACAAAAAGGGAAACTATACGAAATAATTGAAAGACATGACAGCTGCTGGTTGTTCAGAAACAGCACGCACAAATGTGTTGAATGTGAAAATGTGAACGAGTTTCAAATAGTTCACATTTTCACATTCAACACGTCCATCACAAAAGAGCTAGGCCGCCCTCAAAACATCCTGACTCCTCTGTCTCTTCCCCTCGTTGCAACAAGACGAACTTTTTCAAAAAAAGCGAAAGCTAATTCTTTTAAAATTTCATTGTCTCTTTTTTGCTAAAGTTCTTAAAGCACAGCCGCTCGAGTTCTTAAACGTAGCCTTCTCTGGGAAAGAGAGGAGATTTCTCGTTAACAAAGTTTTAAAGTGAGGGGAAGTTTAATTAGACCTCAATTCGAGGTTATTCAGGAGAGGTATCTCTTAACCTCATGGAGTTGAAAAGTACGCCAGTCGAGAAGCTAGACATAAAAGCTCAACGTAATGAATCCGAATTTGAATTGGATTCCAACAAGGGTTTGTGCAAGAATGGTCGCGCTGGTAAGCCAATACTTATGTATGTGACGAAATAAAAGCTGTAAGTGAACTTACTAGTTCCCAAAAACGAGCTAGTTTGAAGGGACTTATTTCCCATTTCCCCTAATAGGATGTTAGCATTCAGTCGTTCGTCCTTCATCGTTGCTCATTCGATACCAACTTACATTTTGACGCGTTTCCCCGCACAACCCACTCTTACCACAAAGTTACAGTTCCAGCAATATCGAAAATGGCCAACAAGAAAATCGACAAAAATACTCGAAAACCGTCACGAAGAATTGAAAATTGCTTTGCCTGTACTTTTTCTCGGCGCTCATGAGCTTATGTCAGCTGGGAGGAGACATTCAAGTGAGTAAGCTAATTACTTGGGACAACGATAAGCTTGGGGAGGGAAAGGGATTCTTGGAGAGGATGTGAGCAAAGTGTTCTCTCTTGCCTTGCTCCCCTCTCCTGGGCTTAGTCCTAATGTCACCTACCACACTGTTTTGAATGCTCCCCTACCCCTTACCCTTGAGGCCATCAACGTTTTTTCTCGATTGCTGCAAGCGATTTCATTGCAGAGATCCCGTTGCAAAATCGGAATGAAAATGAGCGGGGGACGGCGGCAAACAATGAATATGTAATCGATGCCGTCATAAAAACATTTAAAAACCGGATACAGGTTAATTAACCTAACCATAAGTAAGTAAACGTTGTGATTATCACAGTTACCTGTAAACATCAAGTACATTTTGCTTGCCTGCTCAAAAACACGGAAGTACATAATAGTACTAAACAAAGTAGTGCAGTAAATTTTCAAATAAAAGTGGAATTACAAAAATAAACATGAAATTAGAAAAAAAAATTAAGGAAAAGTGGGCAAATTCAGCTGCACAAAGTTGTCTTTATACATCCGGACTTTGAAAAATTAAAAAAAAAAATATTCAATAAAATAAAACTTACAAAATAAGTTAGAAATTAAATATAAGAGCTAATTTTGTTTGTTGACTGCCGTTTTTGGTCGCACTTCGCCTTACCAATATTTCACAAGAATGCTGGGTTGTGAACAAAACTTTCGCCCCAGACAGGACTCGAACCCGCACCTCTTGCTTACCGGGCAAGTGCGCTACCAGTTACGCTACCGCCTAATATATATGGATTATGGATAACTTCCATAATAATTTACGATTGAAGCCTACCTAGTTTCTCCATGTATAGCGCAAAGGATAAAGGCTCGACAACGCTGTCACTTCAAAGATCCAACTCCTCAGCCGGCTTCACTACCCTCCACGTATAGACATCGCATTCAACTTTTTAACCCAGTTTTCCTCGTGATAAGCAGTGGCGATGAAGTAAAGGTAAACTGTGCAGCCTATCGACGCACAGATCGTCCTTTCCTGGGCCTATCAAACCCCTTCATATCACCCTGGTACTGATTTCGTCAAAAATGATGAAAAAATTTTCTACTCGGCAAGCCCCCCTCCCATGCCATTGGTTTGCGCTCTCACAGCAAGGCATGTCTTTGTTTTTCTTACTTTTATGTATCCATAGCGGGGTTAATGGGACGTGAAAAGCTCATAAACCATGGATTTAGTAGGCCACCGAATGACTGATTTCGGATTTTCCATTCTGAGTGCTTATTTTGAGAAGGGAGAAGCAGCTTAGAAAGTGAGACTAAAGCCTGAAAAATTGCAAGCACTTGGAAGCTGAGCTCGAGTAGAGGGGCATTATCGTTCTCGAAAAAGCGGTAAGCCGAGCCTCATAAAGCGCACCATATTCCACAAAACGAGCAGTCACCAGGTGGAGAAAATAAACAGATCAAAGAAACGATCATTTCTCATGTGGTGGCGTGATTCACCGTGCGCACCACACGGTCCGCAGTGCGTTAATGGGTCGGCTGGACCGTCCAAGCTGGGTTCCAGACCAATCTCGGCAATAAGATGGCACATTGTGTAATTGAGGCCGATCAGGGTGATTTAGTCGTACTTCCCAAACGTCAACAAACTAGTCAACCGAGTTTTACTTTTTTCGGTTGTTACTGTTGTTTGTCGTGCTTAGACATGCAGAAGTTCCCACAAGAAAACTGGGTCATCAGCCTGACAACCCGTTCCAAGCTTAAAACGAACCCGCACTTCTCACTTCAACTACTTGCGCCACTGCCAATTGTACCTCCAGGCACTGCATCACTTTACTCACAGGAGGAATTCACGAGAAGGACGAAGGTTCAAGAAGGAGTAGCTCATACATAGCTGAGAGAAAGGCGGACCTCCTGAGGGTGCTGACTGGACGCGCAATTGGCAGCGAAAGATTTGACCTCGGCGATCTAGCATGGCTCACTCTTGGCGCGGTTGGCGGGGTACGCCCACCGACTATCTAATCACTCGCCGCAGGTCTATACGTGGCGAGTGATTAGATAGCAGAGAGAGCGTAGTGTTGAAGAGGGCACAGCATGATGAGCATCGCATCAATGCGCAAATCAACGGGCAAGGAAGGGGTCCCATTTCTCGGCATAAGGCCGTTCGAGTGTTTGTTTATCATTCGCCCCCACTAACCACCTCAACCTCATTTCCATTGAGCTATTTTTCATCATGAATTCTGTCTTTGAACCCCGTTTCCAAAGATTTTCTTGCCATAGCTTATCAGAGTTCCCACACGCGATGAACCGGCTAACCTACATCGGCGAGGCTGAAAGCTCTGAAGATATTGATGGCAGGTTTTGACCGTTACTTGCTCTTTTTGGCCACAGTTAGCCATGCAAAGGTTGTCTCTAGGAAGTTGATTTGAAGGTGTCAAAGGCAGCGCTCTCCATTCCTGGAGAGTGGAGACGGTTTTGATAATGTCATTAATCGTCATTGTGAAAGAGTGTTATGAGGCGGTCTTAACCTATGCCCCACAACGGACTGATGCCTCTAGTCCACCAGTTATGTTCAATGACGTCGTCAAACTGCCCCGCCCCTTTGCCATCGTGATCGCTGCCTTTAAGCACCAAAACATGGCCAAACGGAAAGAGACCTCATTATTTATTTGGATCTTTTATTTTTTTCTGCTAACAAAATTCAGAGTGAAAACGGTTCTAACAAAATAGGTAATAAATAATGGTAACTATGTGATATAATATGGCCTCGAGAAGTTTCAAGAACATTGCTTTCCAGCAATTTCTGCTCTCCTATTGCACCATGGATCGTCCCGCAAGCGAAACTCAATCATAACTGGAAAAACTCCAGAACTCACTCTCTCTTCTCGCTTTTGACTAAGTAATTATTTTCTTAAAAAGTGCTGGAAAACATCCAAGTTCATCATAGCTCAATTGCTGGGTAATTTTTTCTATGGAAAAGCGCTTCGTGGCAAAATTCACTTCCTTTTGAAAAATTAGGAGGTCACCCGACTTCTGGTCGGATTAATAAGCTCGGCTCACCTGATAGGCAAATTCTTCGTTCTTGATCTCCAAATCAAAGCCGACACCTTTCTCGAAAGGATTCTTGCCTTCGCGTTCCTCGTTGCCCCATTCACCGTTGATGAACGAGTTTCTAATCACGCACTGAAAGTAGCGGCTCATTGAACTTCAAGTGGAAAGTGATCTCAGTGGACGTCCAAGGACGTCACACTTGGATCGAATAAGGACGAACGCACAACAACTGAACCATTCAAGGGATATCTACACCGCTACTCGGACACAATCACAGATCGAATCGATCGGTATTGATCGATTGATCGGGAACAAACCAAAGGACACACGGTTGTTTAGTGATAGCGCTAACCTCGTTAGTACAACATGGATCGCAAAAATCATTCTGTAAGAATGGAATGGTGAGCAAAAAAAGAGAAGGACAGTGACAAGGGAGGTCGTTTTGACTGAGCGACATAACATGAACCCTCTTGAGACACATAATGCCAATCATTGTGGCCGAACGAAAGTATGTGCACCCTTCGGTGGCGTGAACTTGCCCAACCACCCCATTTGGAGCCCCATTCCCGAAAGACAGACTGAATGATAGATAGACCAACACAAAAACAACGACACGCTTAAGAGATCAGAAAAACATACGCCCGGTTTGATTTTGCCGCAGATGAAACCCTTTGCCTAAAAATGACGTCATAAAAACCTGAAATTTGGGTTAAGCTCAAAAATGGGGGGTCTTGACAGACAAACCTTCTCGTCGAAACGGGGGTTGAAGTGCAGTGCGATGTCACCGTTCTTCTTCAGAAGGTTCACGTTGAACCTGAAAAGAGGCAGGAGCGATGTAGGGATGGATAGGGTACGATTAAAAGTACCACATATAGTTTTTGTAATAGTATTATAAATAATTAGAGGCAAGATGGAAGGTACATTCATTTGGAAAGGTAACGAGGGTTAGCCTAAGCCCTCGGAGGCCATTTCAAGGTAGAGATTAGATTTTGGAGAAAGGAAATTGACTATTCATAAAACCTAAGCTAGCCTTAGCATGACCGCAACCTTCACGGAAGGTTTTCAATACGCAACTTCCTTCCTTCAATAGCACTTCTTGCTCTCCTTCTGCTTTCCCTAGGAAATTTACCATAAGCGGAGCGGTAAGTGGCAAAGGAAACAAGCACGATTACCGTGATTGTTCACCGTACACTCCCTTCCTCTCCTCCTCTCCCACTTGTTCCTTCGACGACTGCTACAAAATTAGCCCATTTGACGAAACCTCGGCTACCTGAGTCCCTCGAAAAGTGGAAGCCTCAGTCTGACCTTCAGAACTTGTTCTCGACAACCCTACTTGGACTGAATTCCCCCTTTTCTAGGCGTTTTTCACGACGCAGAGAGTACGCGGAGTTATAGAGCGTTTCGGGACACCGCAGTCATTTGCACGGAACGGGGGTTATGTGTCTAGACCTACCGAGACGTGGTTCGAGAGAAGGCTTCCCAGCCCATTTTGGCAAAAAATGTAGCCTTGAAATTAACAGGTTTTCTCTAGCGTTGGACCTAGTAAATTCGGCACAATTTACCCTTTATACCCGTTTATTAAGAATGCCCACTCCTCGAGAATGAGCTGGATTTAATCGGTCCATCCAATGCTGTGAACTTGGCTAGAAAGCTGCCCCTAAGGGGCATTCGACCAGTAGAACACGAATATAACCCAGTCAGACTCCTTATAGCATGACAAACTCTACAAGAACTGCCTCTTTCAGAAAAGTCACGGAAGATGGGTTAAGGTGATATGCCTAAAGTTCAAAGGAGGGTTAATTTTGGGCCCTATTACTGCAATTAATTTCAGCGAAAAGCTCCCCGTGATTCCAATGTAAATCATACGAGTGCCCGAAGACCTTTAGCATCCAGTCCCTTATGAAGCCCAAATTCCCTTCCTTATTTACTATTTTTGCATTAGGATCGCTATGGACAGAAATCCCTATGTCAAAACAATTCAAGCGCTCTTCTAAGCGATCATATCGCCGAAAAATGGCACTCACTTCTTTCCTTTCTTTTCGGGCGTTCCATAGATAACCAATGTTTTGCCGGGGATGAAGCCATTCTCGGCAATGCCTGACTCATAAGGAACCGGCTGAAAGAAATCGCATCACATATTTATAGATAACATATTAAAGTCAGAGGACTCACATAGTACTTGCCACCCCACTGCACGTGGTTCAACACTACGTCGCCGTCGATGCTGAGATGAGTGACATGTTGCAGTGGAATGCGATGCTCGAATGACTTGACTTCTCTCTGAAAAACGGCGATTTTTGACAAGTGACAAGCCGAAACTCGGGGTTGCACCCAGGTTGGTCCGAAAACCTAGGGTCCCCACTTAATCTGAATCATACTCGCCATCGCAATGGATACACTATAGCGAGGCAATAAGGGAACAAATACCGTGGAACGATTTCTCCATCCTATTACTGCTCCAAAAAAAAACTCCTTCGCACCAGGTCAATCACTTAATGTCCAGGGAAAAACAATCGAATACACGGCTTAGCTTTCTTTAATGAAGTGCCGTGGCCGTGGAGGAGCAAAAGCCGTCCGGAGCGCCAAGAATATGACATAAACAGACACCCACGGCAAGAAACTTACACGATTGATGGCGACGGTGAATTGTTGTCGTGCGCTCGGATTCGAATGTCGAACGAGTCGCCCTTCTTTACCGGATTCTTCTGCCGTTCCTCTTTGCCCCATGCGCCTTTCGTGTACGAGTTGAACACCAACTGAAATCAAACCAAATATATGCACCTATTCCTACTAGGAAGTCATCCTGCTGAGTAAGCTAAGTCGTGCAGCGCCGCCATCTTGGGGACCATGGAGAGCGGTATGCGTTAAACAATGGCCAACACGTAGATATTCGCGCGATCAAACCGACAAATGCCTTATTCCACCCATTCAATCGCGAGAAGAGTACTTATTTCATGTGCTATAAGAGTGCGTAAATCACTTGAGCGGGGAACCTCGTTAACAAGAAAAAGCTCCCCAGTGGGCTCTCAAGAAAATAGATTCGAGCGCTCAGAGTGCTCCCACAGCTCACGTGCTACTCAAAAACGAACTTCAGCTTCAATATCTATTAAAAGCCCTTTCAGGTGGCTAGTCTGATAATTTGAAAAATTATTTATTTACATGAACAAATAATTAAATAGTTGGTAAATGATCCGAAGAAAGAGATCAAACAACAACGCAAACAGAATTCCCTAGAGAGACATACGCCTCAGCTTTCGTTATCCAGCATGTGCAGGTCCTTTTACCCTTCCGTTTCCGCTGGGTCCCTTCTTTCGAGCTAGTCAGTTATAATTAACCTTTGGGCGGGGTCAAATTTTCAGGTAATTCGAGACTTTTCAATTTTAAAATAAATTCACGAGTTCACTTGCTTACAAGTGGCTTCAGGTGATTATGCAGCATGCCGCTCTAGTGCTTTCTTTGAGGTCCAATGGGCGCTCACATCGTAGGAGGGACATTCAGGTGAGCGATCCACACAAAGTACCCGGGACTGAGCACTTGGAGTCCCTTCTCCCTCTTGGGCTTAGTTCTTGTGTTACCTTCCACTGGTTTTTGAATGCCCTGTTTTGAGTGTCCCCACCCCCCCCTTCCCCCTGAGGAGATGAGCACTGCTGAGTTGCCAAGAGTCACAAAAACCTCCATCTGAAGAAGTCCTAATCATCGCCGTTAAGCCCAACTTTACTGACTAAATGCGTGCAAAAATGCCTTCGCAATTTCGAACAAGGTCAAATGCATGGCGCACTCCAACACCTTTGGAAACTCCAATTTTCTTTCGAATTAACACAATTTGTATTCTTTCGTACTACCGTTGAACACCTTAGCTGTTATACGTTCCACACCTACGCCTAATTTCACCCATGTCATGCCACTTCCTCTCCCTTTAGATAGCCCTATGCGGGATTGTGCTAGAGAGAGATCGAACGCGTGTCACAAGGCGCTATTTGTTGAGCGCCGTTGGATAATGATGAAGGAGATAAAAGGGATCGGATAAATAGCACGGAAACGAGGGCGCATACGGTGGAATTAGTAGGGAGATGCAAAAAGTGTCGAAATGGCTCAGCTAAATCCTAGCTATAAGCTCAGCGCCATTGGGTCCAAGAAGATTACGGTAATGAAGTCGAGGCGGGGTAAGTAACGAGTGGATGCGAAATTTCCCTTTGCTTCAATGCTACTCGAATATTTGTCCATTTAGCGACACAAGCAACTCTCAGAAAACCGTCTATAATCCCATCTACTGCCATAAACAACAGCTGTCATGTGTGCCCGACGAGAGCGGCGCGGGCCAACGGGGGAAACTCTCGTGCGAGCGCGGCCCCTTGCAACAATGACTTCCAGAAGAGGGAATTTCCGGGCCAACAGTTGATGTTTTGTAAATGTTTTTCTTAGCGGAAAGCCGGCCCCAACAGAGGAATCGCGTGCGCACAGCTGAGACTGTTGTCGGATGGCCCAGCTAAACGGCAAAACACATACACACACTTTCGCATCTCAACAGCTGGACGAAGCGCGTGAAACAAAAATAAAACAGCCGACACAGAGAGAAACACACTCACCTTTCCTTCATCGAATCGTACACTCACGTGCAATGGCACGTCGTTGCCGCTGAAGTCCGGACTATCCTTATGAAGATTGATATTGAACCTGAAAGTGAATGAGATGACACTTCAAACTATTGCGCCACGAATTTTCCGATCATTTATTTATTTGTTTGTTTATTTACCAAAGTAGGCTGTCAAAAGACAGTTTGTATAGGTAAATAGGTTGCTAAATTACTCAAATAGAAGTTCAGGACAATTGAACCAGCACTGGGCGCAATGTGGCTCCGGGGGGCCAGCCCGTAACATTGCATCAGATTCACGAAATACTTTCAGTTTTGGGCCTAAGCCTTGGAGAAAAAAAGGGAAAGCGAGCTACGTAAGCATTTTCATCGTTCCGAAACTCGTCGCCTCGTGCGGGCCTAGTACCCAGAAAGGCCCTCTCACAGCCCCCCCTCCCCCCCCTCCCAGCGCACATTGAGCCAACTACGTAATTAAAACATCTATGCTGTGAAAGTAATTTCGGCTGGAGCACGTTTGAACGAACCCAAAGAAGCCCCTTTTAAAGAGAAATTCTTAGTTAATTCTAAGATAAGCAAATCCGATTGTACAGTGAAAAAATTGGCTCTAATAGTTACAATAATAATGTTCAACTAAACCGACCTTTTGGCCTCTTCGCTGGTCCTGCCGCGAATGATAAGCGTCTGACCCGGCTCGATTCTCTCTGTCAGTTTACTGCGGTATGGAATATTCTGAAAACAGTGTGGTTTCATCACCGGATTGTTCTCTTTCAAATATTAAAAGGCCAAATGGCGCTATCGCAAAATGCGGGGGCATCCTATAGGTAGCAACTTTGGGAAAATGAAAATTGGGACAGCAACTTCGGGAAAATGAAAAATGGGGTAGCAACTTCGGATCAAATGAAAATTGCTCACACACCCTGAAGTCTTTATTCCTCCGCCTAATGCTTAGCCCCACTTTCAACCGGAAGAGCATGTTTTACGTGGTTCCAAATTCGTTGCTACTACAATGCTCATCCCCCCATCTTACCATAGCGCCAGCTAGAATCCTTTTTAGGGTCACTGGGGAGAAACTGGCGCATTTTCTGTCATCAACTTGACCCTTACAGGTTTTTGTAGACCGTCATTGAAGGGTGATCCCTCTTTCAATCACCCGGCCGGACATGGCCTTTCAAGCGTTTCCCTTAAAAAGCTGTAAAGGATTGACAAGTGTGAAAGTCAGCTCAGCAAGGCTAGTAGTTCCTAAAAAGTCGCCTCGGACAGAATACGATAGGCGCTTTGTGTGGAGTCAAGGGAGGCGGACAAAAGCACAACACAAAGGAGTAGAATATTCACAATGTACTTAGCGAAGTGCCATAAAGTTGGCATACGGCTGGCAACGTCCAACACGACCAACGCAGTTGCTGCGGGAGCACAGGCTGCTGAGCGACCTGCTCTCGAAGACGTGCACACACAAATGGCTGTCGATGGACACTTTGAAGTACTCAGCAGACGATCGACAAGACGATGCCGGTGGTTGTCGGTGCAGGGGTGGTGGTGGCGAAGAACACCTGATACGCCTCAAGCACGTTCGATCCTCGGTTGCCACTTGTCACACATTCACGTGGCTCAGGAGCCACCTCTATCGGGCACAGATCGGTTCAGCCAGACGTGAGAAGATGAATTGAATTTGCAGAAGAAGGTCAATAGAAGGTGACCGACGACGCAACGATGGTCGCAGGCGTCGTGCCGCCAACGGATTCGCTCATGGCGGGCTGGAGAGCCCGGGGTGTGGGTGGGGGCGTGTCTTTAGAGGGAAGAAGTGAGGACTTATCCCTCATGCCGGCGTCCTTCCAAATGGATAAATGCTTGCGTATTATCAACAAAGAGCGACAGCAGAGAAGAGCCGAGCGGACGACGGGCCATGCATCATCGCGAAGTTGTTCAATTCGTGAAAGCGCGTGAAAGCGTGTGGCTCCCGTTTGACACCGGAAAAAAGTTGCGCTGTTCAAGAGCGCAAATATCGAAAAACGCTCGGAAGACCATCAGAAATATGAGATGATCCGCTTCCTCTAATGCAAATGTCCGTGCTGAAGGCAGTTGTGTACGGAATGAGCTCTACTAAACACAGCTCTTTGGTCCTCTTTTAAATATTCGTGCCTGAGAAAAAAGCAAAGAGAAAGCGACAGCTCGAAGAAGGCGGCCTGACATGACGTATTGGAAGATTCGCTTGTCAGTTGAAAGTCTACCAGAAGGTCGTTTTTCGCCCCGAAAAGGCCTCTAGCTGACGACTATTCATCAAGAGCCCCGCAGCCCCTCCCTTCGATAGATCTTCTTCCACCTCTGTTTCAGTGAAGGTGTAACTGTGGGTAATAAAAACCGCATACCAATCATACCAAGACAGTAAATAGCGCACTTCTCTCAGATCATATTGTCAAATTTAAAGGCCAGTTACTAGTTTTATTCACCTTCAAACACGAAAAACACTTAAGTTTTGCTAACCAACACCTTACGATCACCAACCTCGACAATGAATAAGTTTTTAAAGGTAGTTGACTTTTGGAAGAAAAAGGACAGGAAACTGCCAAA